AAATACATAGTTTAGGAAGAGCCTGCCTGAAACTATACAAAAAAGCAAATAAGCAAATGGATGTATAGAATTGACAACAACAACCACGCTGTCGAGTTTAAATAGCGGCAAATCAGCTGCACTTGATAGTAGTTGGTTGAATAAGGAAAATGAATTAGCAACAAGAGTTTACGGGATGTACATAGCTCAGTGGTTAACGCTTCTGACTTTGAACATCGAATTCGCAGGTTCGATCCCTGCTGAAGTCTAGAAAAAGAAGTCTGATGAGGAGATGTGGTGATCTCCGAAATAGTGCTATAACTTCTACCGCTTAGACTTTGTTGCTTTTTCAAATTTTCCTAATAAACAATCGTGGTACAAAGCTCAATAAAAATATTAAAATACTTTTGTTTTTTTCATTGTTTCATTGTTGTGTTGCATGCAAATCGCAAAATTGTCGCCCGACGCCGTTGGTTGCAAATTTACTCATTCTCCTCTCTTGACTTTTTCATCACTTTTTACGAGTACTGAGAAGTGAATTATGGGCCTTCGCAGTGCGCAATCTTGCATATAATTTATTCAGAATGTAATCTAAATAGACGTGTGCTTATTAAACTCAGACGGGTTTTAAATATTTAACTTCATGAACATATAGCAGAAACTTTGTGTAATATTAAAAAAAATCAACAAACTTTCCTAAAAGTTGCCAGCTTTTTTAATTAGATTTCCTAGAAAGATTCTGAGTATAGAATTTTTGAGCCCATTGAGTTCTAGTAAGCAAAGTACAAGTTTCAAATGGCTAAAAATTACCATTGATTTTCTAGAATTTTTTTTCTCGAAGAGGATTATATATAAAAATAAATTGTATTCATTATATAGAAGCAAGTGGAACAAAAAGTAACAAAAAAAAACCTAACCAACACTTTTTTCGAAACTGCGTTTTTCACAGATTTTGGGAGTAGGAGAGCCTACGATGCTAAATCGGGATTTACTTGAGCGTCATTTTGACATATTGGATTTTGAATATTAACGATAGGAAGAAAAAAGGCCATGTGATGTTTGTCCTTAAGCGGAGGGTGGATGATCTATCTATAGGCTTCCAAAAATTAAAAAAAGAAACAGTTACATGGATTTACCCGAGCAGATATAGTGAATAAATCAAACGTGTTTCTGATGACGGATATGCTAATCTGCCGATGTGCATGGTGGGGGTGGGCGTACGGAATTGTGAACAGTTTTAGAAAAAAAATTTACATGCAGCTCCCATTCGATAATCTGACGATTAAGATGTGACGCAAGCTCGTAGCGTCTTCTTGAAGATGCAAAAAAAATCGTCATTTGGAGTTATTCGAATGCGTCAGATTTTCATA